TAGGAGATGTAGAGCCCAGCTCTCGGGAGCTGGCTTGCCTGCAGACAGCACATTACATCTTAATTGCTGTTCACCTTGCAACGCTCCCAACCCCAAGGATGAGTGTTTGTTTAGGTGCAACATCCACTGGTCCTTGGAAGATTTGTTTATCAACAAATGGATTACCTCCATAAGGCACAGGTGTTATGTTTAACAGAGTCCTTCCTCAAGGGTCCCTGGACTCTAGTGACATTGTCTATAAACAGACTCAAGGACGTTGTGACTCCAGTATGGTGGCCCTAGTCAGCCTCTTTTGGACCTAGACTTTGGCTTATTTTGTTATATAAATCCTTTGCGGGGGCATCACATCCATGAATCTGTGTCAGGACTCCCATCCCCCCCAGGATCCGATTACACCAGCCATGCTTCCTCTGAGAAGCGGCCCCCTTTTCAATACTCAGGTTCTTCCCATTGCCAAGAACATCAGAGAGCATTTCAACGGCTGCCCCTCCCACGGGCACCCCCCACGACTTCCTCTGTGTGGGATGGAAGTGGTGAATGAGGAGTGTTTTCAAGGGTTTGGAGCTTCAGGGTGGTCTCAGTGTTTCCGAGTCTCCTAGACCCACCATTCTGTTTGCCAGGATCGTGTTTCCCTAGGGCTGCCCAAGCTTTTCACATTGGGAATAGGGCAAGGCTATGGGTTTAAATGACCAAAGTCAGAGCCCTGCAGGTTAAAGGTAGAAACCCGCCTGTACCTCTGATCTCGACACTCTTCGTAGTCTTTTTTTTAAATTGGAGTAAAATTGCTTTACAGTATTGTTAGTTTCTGCTGTAGAACAAAGTGAATCAGCTATATGCATACATATATCCCCTCTGTCTTGAGCCTCCCACCCCCACCCCCACCCCCACCCCCAATCCCACCTCTCTAGGTCACCACAGAGCACGGAGCTGAGCTCCCTGACGACATCCTTCATAGTCTTTGGATTTGTTTGTGACAGCTGCTATCAAGCCCTTCACCCCAGGAAGCAGGTGACTCCAGATGACCGACCATGGGCAGTACTTAAATATTTTAAGGCCACATGCCTTGGTCTTTGAGTTTCCCATTCCAAGGCCCAATACTGAATGTTTCCAAGTATCCCAATTTCCCTCAGGGTTTATTATCTCCAACCCATTTCTGCATCCATTTCTGTATCAGTTAGGACCCTTTGGGGTTATAAATAACTATCTATGGCCAAGTAAAGCAAGTAAGGAATAGCCTGGAAGGATAATGGGTACTCAGAGAATCAAAGGAAGAACTAAACAATCAGGCCTCAGGAAGGACAGTTACCAGAACAGCTCTTGGCTATCTCTGTAGCAGGAACTCATGTATGGTCAGTGCTGCCACTGGGATGACTTCTGTGTGCCCTTCTGCTCAGGGAGCCCGACTGGCACAGGGCTCAGCCTTTGGACAGGGAAGGGGCAGGGCACTGTGGTATTCCCACAAGACTCGGTGGTTCCCAGAAAGGGGAAATGATTTGGGGCTGCTGAAAGCAGCAAAACACTACACTAGTAACAAAGCCAGCTCAAGTGCAAGGACGATCATTGTAATGAGGTGGGAGTTCTTAGGGAACCCAAAGGTAGGCAGTTCAGCCAGGATCCCCAAGGCACTGGGGTGGGTGAAGCACCAGGAACCAAGTTTCCCTCTGGCACGTGGCCTTGTTCACCAACACACCCAGCCCCAGCCTGTGTGACCACCCAGGTGGCCCTCAGTCCAAGTCTGACTGGACACGGGGAACCCATGGGTACCAATCAGCTGAGGCCAGGGAAGGGTCAAACCTCAGGGAATAAACGTGGCAGGGGCATAGTTACCCCTGCAAGTGAGGTGCGGGTGGAGAAAAGAGTTCCCTAAATGCCCGTCAAGCAACTCCAACGACCCTCACTTCCTTCCCTTCCTAGACTTCCTTTCGTAGTCTTAAAAGAGAATTGACCCTCGCACCCTGACCGACGCTGGTGCCCCTTATCGTAGAAGGATCACCGACGCTGTGACCACCCTGGAGTCAGTCAGGCACCACCAGGGGTAACCATCTAACCTCACGGAAGAGTGAGGGACGGACACTTTAAAGAGACTCCACAACAGCAACATGTTTTCTATGTTACAGGATCATTCTTGTTTTTGAGAGAATATTATATAGGATTAAAATTTTAAATGCAGACTCAAGTAACTGAAGCACACTTGTTGTGTTGCGGTTATTATCAAGTTTAAAACACTATTGGAGGGGCTTCCCTGGTGGCGCAGTGGTTGAGAGTCCGCCTGCCGATGCAGGGGACACGGGTTCGTGCCCCGGTCCGGGAAGATCCCACGTGCCGTGGAGCGGCTGGGCCCGTGAGCCATGGCCGCTGAGCCTGCGCGTCCGGAGCCTGTGCTCCGCAACGGGAGAGGCCACAGCAGTGAGAGGCCCGCGTACCGCAAAAAAAACAAAACAAAACAAACACTATTGGAATATACGTTTTAATTTTATTCGTGCAGTTAAAAATGTGGGATCGTGTAGTACTAAAAGATCCCTTAGAAGTAACTCTTGATATATGCAATAATTAAAACTGGAATAAGATTTGTAAACTAACCCTAAAGGGGCCTAAGGAGACGCTAAGTTTTGGGATTTTTAACCACCCCAAACACTTAAAATGGACAAAAGAAGAGACTGAGAAGTATCTTATTTTTAACTTTATTTTTATTGTGGACACTATTACAGATAGATAGAACGACCACAACCATATTAACAAACCAAAAACCTGTGCACAGACACAAGATGAAGAAAATATATGAAGATGTTAACCACAGTCTTTGGGTGATGATAATATGGGTGAGTTTCTCTTCTACACTTCTGTAACTTCCAAGTCTCTGTGATGAACACATACCGTGTTTATAATGGAAATACATGTAATAAAGGTAGGTTCCCAAAACACTGTGAGAAAGCCTGTCCCAGGTAACCGAGACAAAATACTTAACTGTAATCCCACAATGACCACACACCATTTCCTCACTGCTTTCTGCGTCTCTTCCCATCTTTGACCCTCTGCATACTCATCACAGACACCGCAGTCATCAGACTGTGCACAGGTCAAGGTGTCAACAGCAATGGTTGGTGGGTGTCGGGAATATGGATGAATTTCTTTTCTTTTGCTTTGCTGAATCTCCCCGAAGTCTGCCATAAGTATGTACTATATTTGTAATGGAAAAATACATACGTAAGATTTAGTACCAAAACACCAGAGATCATTCAAGGAATCTGAGACAAAACGTTTAACCATAATCCCATAACGACAACACTCTTAATTATTTTCCGTATTTTTTCATTTTAGACGTTATGCACACGTACTCAACAGTCCTAATCACAAGCGTGTGCACTGACACGAGATGGAGAAAACAGATCAAGATGTGAACAGCAGTTGTTGGGTGTTGGGGATATGGGCGACTTTTCGAATTTATTTTGTATTTTCCAATTATTCCTCTGGGTACGTATTATGCTTGTAATGGAAACAAACATAATAAGCTTTGTTATCAGGACACTACTATAAGGAACATCTGAAAACATTAAGATGAAAGTGTTTAATTCCGCAAAGGCAACAGTTACTCTGAGTACACATTTTGACACAGTTATAGTCACAAACCTGTGCACAGAAACGAGGATAAACAATATAGTGAGGAGCGTATCTGTCTTTGGATGGGGGGTATATGGATTTTTTTTTCCTCCACTTTTCTGTATTTTCCAAGTGCCCGATAATGAGTTCAAATTATGTTCACAATGGAAACATGATTATAAACTTTTTAGTAACACTACGATGAAGAATATTCAAGGAATTTAAGAAAATAATGCTCGACTATAAGCCTACAACACCACCACCACGACAGCTTTTGACTATAAGCATACATTTTTAAACAGTTATAACTGTAGTATAAATATAATTCTGTGTCCTGTTTTTTCCACTTAGTATTCCGTAAATATATTTCCATGTTGCTACATAACTCTCCACGCTTATCATTTTTAAACAGCTGCATTAGGAGTTCACCGACAAGTTCCCTTAATTGTCCTCCTATTTTTGGCATTAAGTTGTTCCTAATGTTTCACTAAGCAAAGGCTGGAACGGACACCCTGACATTTGGCAAGTCTCTTTCTGAAGAGTTCTACCAGTTAATACTGCCAACAGTGATGAACACAGGTTCACCCCACCGACGCTGACGCCGGCCCCCACCTCAGGGTCCTCCTCTGAGGCCGTGCCTCACTGTCCCTCAGCTCTCCCAGGTGTCCAACCTCGGGTCTTCACATGCAGCTGGCCCTCGCCTACACCATGCCATCAAAACGGCCCCTTCTTCTCAGAGGCCCAGGATATCCTGCTCATTCATTCTTCCCATCCTGGCCTTCCCATCCCCGCTCCTGATGTTGCTTCCAACTGCTTCCTCACCCTCCGAGGTCTGGAGACGTTATCAGGACTCCCCCTTCTTTGGCTTACTCTTTTCTGCTTCCTGCTCTCACCCTACCAACCTCCTTCGACTTTGGCATTCCTTCCAGCTGCGATATGCTCTCCCCGAGCCCTAACCGTGCGGACCTAGGAGAGGGAGATTTAAACACATTTCCCCAGCAGGTACTTTAACTTTGCTCGCCCAAATAATCTAGCTCTTATCTTCTGCTCCCTTAATCTACCAGATCCTCTTAAAAATTTTTTTTTTTATTTTAATTTTTTTTTTTTTTCCAGCCAACTCAAAGCCAAAAAGAGTTCTTAATAGTCATTATGCAAGGGGCGGGGAAGCAAAGGGAGCACAGGTGGTCCACAGAACAGGACACAGGAAACCTCGAGCTGTGAGGTCGACTTGTGATCACACGGGCAACCGAGGCGACTAGACAGACGTGACGCTCTGAAGGATAGGTGACAACTGCTTATTTAGGGGGGCACTCTTTAAGAGGAAGGGACAGATGGCAACGAAACAAATTAAGGCTGCTAGGGAACCTGAGTCCATGTTAAGCTCGAGTTGACTGTAAAGAAAGTTTTTTTTTTAAATGCAAGTTAGACATGGGGTTGAGGGTCAGACAGGTAAAGACGAGAATTAAGTTTCACACTAGAAAGCTCTAAGGATACTCGCCCCTGGGCGCCCAGGGTGCAAAAACTGAGTTGTAGCGGCACACACGGACGAAGCCCCGTTGCTACTTGTCGCTTAAGGCAGGGAGCGCGCAAAGGGAGTGATGAGGCAGCAGCCCCGTCCTAACTTACACGAGAGCCCCCACGGTTCTCAACCTCATCAGGCACGCGCGCGATCTAGGGATGGCTGCAACCACTCTTGAAAGGCAAAGACGCAAGATGCACAGGGAGAAGCTTCAGCTTTTGTGAATTCACTATCCAACAGACATCAAGTTGGTTTAAAAACAAATAACAAAACTTGTAACTATTTTTTGCATGAGAACCACTGCAAAGTACAAGGTGGCAACCAATCAATTTGGGGTTACAAAAGGCCAATCCACGTATCGTAAAGGCTTACACAGCATTAGGTTCCAAAGTGTTAGTGTAGACGAAATAGCTGAAAAGGAAGCTCCAAGTACTTCCCCTTTCAAACAGCAAAGCGGAAAAGACATTTTATCTTTCATGCCTACACCTTTACAGGAATATTTAAGAGTAAGGAACAACACAGTCAATTACTCAAAAAAATATGGATGGGATTCAAATAACGCACAATAAATCTTTCTAAGGATCTAAGATGCTTACAAATATATTCTAATTTGTTGCTCTCTTCCTCCTCCAAAAAAAAAAAAAAAAAAAAAATCAAAGAGTACCAGGTAAGGAAGGTACCTCTGCAAGTGAACTGTAACTGGATACCATATTAAGTCTAAATATGAGTACTGTTTGCTATGATTTGCTATTTTATATACATCTCAGGAAACATTCATTATATATAGGTTCCAGGAGTGTCATTTACAGATGTGGGCGATTTCTGTAGCCTTGAAAACCCCTCCAGCTTTCCGTCAATGCAATTACTCGGGTGGAAGGTAAGATGTGTGTTATGGCTTTCCCACATGCATACGCCGATGTTTGATGGGGAATTGCTAAGTCCGAAGGAGTCTCCACCTTCAGTTTCTTTCCAGGCTGAGTTGTCTGATGTTCAAAGTCAGGTGTGTATACGCCAAGGGAAGCCTCCTTCCGACATCATCGTGGGTTGGTTCCAATTATCTGTAGTTTAGTAAGGGTCCAGTCCTAGTGAAGGTTTTCCAACCTTGACACCCGAGTCCTCAGCCGGTGTGGGTGTTCTGGTGCCTGGCCAGGGACAGGCGGTCAGTGAACACCTGCCCACAGACGTCACACTTGAAGTACTTGTCATCAGCCCTGCCGCTGTCATTGCTGCTGGTGCTGGCGTGCTCGGTGTAGTGGGAGCTTTCCCCGTAGACGCTTCCAGGCTCGAATATTATCACCCTGGCATGGGTTTTCAGGTGCTCACCGTAGGCCGAGTTGGAGGTGAAGGTCTCGCCACACTCCCTGCAGTCGTAGTAGGGCTCTTCCACTTGGATCTCCTGGTCGTCACCTTCCTCTTCTGGGTCCTCGATCCCTGCACCGTCCGGCTCATCCGCATCTCCCTCTGGCTCTTCGGCTCTTTCCTCTGGGTCTTCGATCCCTGCCCCATCTGGTTCATCAGCATCCCCGTTGGGCTGTTCGGCCTCCCCGTTGGGCTGTTCGGCCTCCCCGTTGGGCTCGGCGGCCTCCCCCTCCGGCCCCTCGGCCTCTCCGTTGGGCTCGGCGGCCTCCACGTTGGGCTCGGCAGCCTCCACCTCCGGCTCGGCAGCCTCCACCTCTGGCTCTGCGGCCTCCACATTTGATCCCTGGATCCGCAGAACTTCCCGTGGAACGAGGACGTTGGCTTCGACTTCCTGGGCGGCTGCTGCTGCTTCCTCTTCCTCGAGGTGCAGCTTCTGATGCTTCGTGAGGACTGTGTTGTGGATGAAGGACTTGCCACAGTCCTTGCACTCATAGAAGGGTGAATCTCTCTTGGGGGGCTCGGTGAGGAAGGAGGTATGGACGAAGGTGGCCCCATAGTCGTAGGGCTCGTCCTTCTCGTGAATCCTCATGTGCTCCCGGAGGTCGGCCTGGCTGGGGAAGGATTCTCCACAGGTCGCGCACTCATAGTGCTTGTCCTTGGCCTGGTCTCTCTGAAGGTCTGTGGGGGCCAAGCCTGGGCTGACCGCATCTGTGCTTCCCTGGCCCTGCTCCAGCAGGCTGTCTCCAGCGTGAACTCTCATGTGTTCGCTAAGGACAGAGCCGTGGATGAAGTCTTGTCCACACACTTGGCATTGCAGGGAAGTCCCAGCAGGAGGACTCTTCTGTGGGGCCCGAGGCCGCTGCGGGCTAATGGCCAAGGGCTGCATAAAGGGCTCATCATACCTCCTGTGGCCGTAAAACTGGTCTTGCTCATGGATTTTCTGATGCTCGAAAAGGAATGAGCTATGAACGAAAGATTCCCCACATGCCGGGCACTCATAAAGCTGCTCTCCAATGTAATCTTTCTGATACTCACTGACAGAATGGGTGTGCATCACAGAACGCGCGTACTCGCGGCTGTCGATGAGGTACTCTCTGCCGTGAACCTTCTGATGGTCCCTGAGGTCTGTGCGATCCACGAAGCCCAGCCCACAGTCCTTACACCCATAGATGGTGTCTTCAGGCTCATCCGGCTCATCTGGCCCTTCCTGCCGAGGCTCTTCCTGTCGAGGTCCATCAAGGCCCACACCCTGAATCACAGAGCCTCCAAACAGCTCCCCACCATGGAATTTCTCTCGGGCATAGATTTTCTGATGTATGCCAAGGTCTTCAACAGTGGCAAAACACTCCCCACACTCCTTACATTCATTGCGGACTGGCTGTTCAGCGTAACTGGTCTGAGCTGGTGGTTCAGCGTAACTGGTCTGAGCTGGTGGTTCAGGATAACTGGTCTGAGCTGGTGGTTCAGCGTAACTGGTCTGAGCTGGTGGTTCAGCGTAACTGGTCTGAGCTGGTGGTTCAGCGTAACTGGTCTGAGCTTGCTCTTCAGCGTAACTCACCTGTGCTGACTGGCCCGCATAACTGGTCTGAGGATCCGTGGAGGCTATGCTGCGAATGACAGATCGTATGTAGTTTCCACTTCCAGAGGGCTTCTTCCTATCATGAATCTTCTGATGCTCAGTGAGGTCAGAGCTATGAACAAAGGACTCTCCACACTCCGGACATTCGTAAAACTTCTCTCTCGGGTGAAACGTTTGAGGTTCACCAAAACGCAGGGAGTGGATTACAGAGGTCTCATAAATCCTACGCTCGATGTTCTTCTTCTTAGCACGAGCCTTCTGATGCTCGCGCACATCTGACTTGGGAACAGATGGTTCACCATCCTTCTTCCATCCACTGGGGCCCTCCCCAGCGAGACTGTCCTGAGATACGGTGTGGGACGCACCGTGCACAAAAGAGCCCTTGAAGATGTTGTTCTTACCCCCTGCATAGGGGCTCTCTAGGGCAAGGGTCTTCTGCGGCTGGCCACAAGGGTCTGAGAGGTAAGCGGAGGACTCCTGCTGCTCGTCACAGCCAAGGAGCTCATTTCCACCGCGACCACGGGGAGGCCTGAAAGCAGCTAGGCTGTGGATGACGGACCTCTCATACCCCTTTCTTTCAGAGGTACTCTCCCCAGCGTGGACTTTCCAATGTTCGGTGGCACCCGAGCTCTGAACGGTCGCCTCTGCTATCACTCTCGGTTTGCTGTGACTTTTATGAGCCCCAGGGAAGGCTGAGCTATGAATGAAAGACCTCTCATAGGGGTTCCTCTCGTAGGACAGGGCTTCCCGGCTGTCATCAGGATTGGAGCTGACAGTGAATGCCTTCTCGTCTTCCTCGTCCTCAGGTGGCCTTGTTATAGTGTGACTCTTCTGAGATTCGGGGAAGGACACACCGTGAATGACAGACTTCTCGTACCCCCGGCCTTCAAAGAGCTTCTTCCGAGAATGAATTTTCTGATGCTCGATGAGGTCTGAGTTTTGCCTAAAGGCATCTCCACCATCTTTGAAGTCGTAGGCCTTCTCTGTTGGGTAGGTTTTCTGGCGTCTTTTAAGGGACTGACCAGGAATGAAGGTTTCCTCACACACTTTGCCCTTGTTTTCAAATGGGTTTCCTCGGGTGTGGACCTTGTGGTGCTCTTTCAGGGATGCGCTGTGATGAAAGGTCTCCCCGCACACCTTGCACTCGTACATTTTCTCTTTCCCATACATCTTCTGAAGCTCGTTAAGCGCTGGGCTGGGTTTGAAGGCTTCCCCATGCTCACTACCTTTGTCATCTCGGCCATGGGTTTTCTGGTGCTCGATCAGGGCAGAACTATGAAGGAAGGTTTCCTTGCACACCCTGCATTCATAGAATTTGTCCTTCCCGTATATCTTCTGGAGCTCCCTGAAGGTTGGGCTGGGCATGAAGGGCTCCTCGTACTCCTCGTCCTTACACCCCGCAAGGCAATCTCTAGCGTGAATTTTCCGATGCTCGGCCAGGGCGGCGCTCTTATTGAAGGGTTCCCCACACTCCTTACATTCAAAGCGTTTCCCTCCGGCCTGCCTTTTCTGAACCTCACTGACGGCCACACTATGAAGAAAGGACTCGCCGTACTCATACAGATTCTCCCTGGTGTGCGTGATCTGATGCTCCACAAACCCCGAAATCACGCTGAAGGACCTCCCGCACTCATCACACACATAGGGCGTCGCCCCAAAGTCGAAGGGCTGCAACTGGGGGAAGGGCGGCGCGCTAAGGCTGCTCCCGCTAGCGGCCTTCCTCACCTCGCTGCGCTCAAAGGGCCGCTTCCTTGCACCACCTCTCCGACCGTGCATGGAGCCCTTCCCGTCTGTGTCAAAATGATAGCGCCTTTTTCTCTCAAGAACTCTCTTTCTGGAAACAAGGTTTGAGTTCAAATTAAAGCCTCCTCCCCCAAAGGCATTCCCTTCATGGCCCCTCTCCTGAATCACCGACTCCCTCTTGTTGAATGGAACTTCCTTCCAGTCACTGTCTGGCCTCCTGGGGAACCTCTGCAGCCGATCGCTAGGTTCCCTTGCCCTTCCCGATTTGGAGTTGCGCGAAACGTCCTTGATGAACTTTTCCATTATCACCCCGTGGGAAGATTCATCTTCACAGATCCCCCGCCGATGGGCTGACTTTTTGGTTTCAGGCATAGTTTTCAGACCTGAAAAGAAATCCCAAATGTAAATGCTCCCTCGTCCCTGTACTTGTGCAAAGTAACACTGGGACCTCCGTGATGGTGGTGTGAAGATAAACTGTAAAATGCTTGTATTTTTGTGCATCAATTGTGTATCATCATGTATCAGTGTGTACGGACGGCTCCCATCTCACTGGTGCAAGCGCCACTCCACAGGGCCTCGCGTGCTCACCTCGACTGGTGCTCGGGTAGGCACTTCTCTTTGACCGTGATGAGTGGCCCTGGGTCATGTGCGAGTGGCCGTCGTCCTCGGCAAGCTGAACCCCTGTCCACAGGAAGAACACAACATCTCACACTCGAGTTGGGGACCAAGACTCATCACCATAAATGATGTCTGTCTTTCTCTCAGCCACGAAGTGTGAAGGGGCCCATATCCAAGCCCTACCATGTCTTCTGTCTGCAGTCTCATTTCCTTATTATTCATTCCTCAGCCTCTGCTGGTCTGAATTTTAGTTAATTCTCCTGACTCCACCTAGAAGTTTGTACAGAGACCTCCGAGTGCCTTCTAAATTTAGTGCGTTCTTTTCAGTCTTCCCCTTCTCGTAACCACCTCCTCAGTCCTGACATCCTTTCACTGGGCTTCCTGGCTCTCCTCCTACTCGTGCCTGTTTTCCCCACCTGGTCTCCAAACATGGGAGCTCCTCAAGGCTCCACTGCCCACACAACACTCCTGCAGAGCCAACCGCCTACTAGGACCTGAGCCAGATGTCTTCCAGGGGAATCCAAACTGGAACTTGGAACCCCATCCGAAATGAGTATTTAAATTTCCAGGGTCAGCACTCTTGGGGGCAAGAGTTGTCTCCTGGGCTCCCTGACCCCACACTACACACTCTTCCCCCAAAGCCAGAGGATTCGTAAAACACAGCCTCATCGTTTATGTCTCTGCTGGGAGCCGCTTGAGGGCCTCTGACCCGAGTCCACACACACTGCGGACCCTGACTCCGTGCAGCAGCCTGAGGGGCCAGGCCGGGAGAGCAGCGCTCACCCAGCGAGAGCAGCTTCCGGTAGTTCTCCATGTTGTCCTGAACTGGGTTCTGGGGCTTCCGGTCCTCGGTGAGGGCCACCACATCCTGGTACGACACCGCATCCTGCAACAGCAAATGCACACCTCTCCTCAGTGGAGTCCACTCCCGTGGGCGACAAGGACAGGACAACGCTGGCGGCATGGGAGCCACACACACACGCGCACACGGTGTGCAGCAAGTGCTCACGCCACTTGGGGTTCCGAATGATCCAAGTCAGGTTCTACCAGGGACCTACTTGGCGCCTACCTTGGTGCTACACTCTGAGGAAGCTCCCAAAGACGCAGGACACATATTCCTTGCCCTCATGCGCTTATCATTTGTTTGGAGAGGAACAATCAGAGAGCAGTAAACAACAAAGCGGGGTGCAGAGAGCCAGCGCCAAGCGGCTTTAGCAGGGGGACAGCTCAGGGTGGGCTGGGACGGTGAGCAAAGACCGCAGAGGCCGTGGGTGGGGTGGTAAGTGGTGGTGGGACTCTGGCCCGGACAGGGGTGGGAAGCTTCAACAGGCTCAGTGTCAACTGCACGCAGCGTTTCCAGACACCTGGTCAGCAGAGTGACCGGCTTCCATCCCCAGGCCCGCTGTGTCCTGTGTCGGCCTCCGCCGTACACTGTGGGCCCTTCTGGGTATGGACAAGTTCTGAAGAACCCGGGGGTGACCTTAAGCACAGAGCACCTTCCTCTCCCAGCTGCCTTTTCTGCTTTGACGCACATTCCCTTGCAAAGCATCTTAGGAGTCCCCACATCACGCGGGACAGCCTCCTGCACAGGACCTCACAGGACCTCTTCTCACTGCTGCACTAGAACGTCACTAGTTTCGGGGAGTCGTGGTCCCAGGGAGCCTGGAGACAGACTCAAGGAGCGAGGTGGAGCCGTGGGAAGCCCGCAGGCTGTGGGGCCAGAGAAGACTCCAGGGTCAAAGGAGCTTATGCACCGTTTACGACCGAGCAACCCTGGGAGCAGACGTCTTTCCAAACCTCAGGTCCTTCATCTGTGAAATGGAGAGAAGGGCATCGGCCTGCCCTGTAGCACTGTGGGAGTGGATGTCCTGCGATGTGATTTGTTGTTTAAGCATGGAGAAAAATCGTGTAAGGGAAAGGTAAATTGTTGTCACTACTGAACTATTATGTAAAGATATTTTGATATTAAATTTGCTACAGTTCTGGAAAGTGGCACAGATATTATAGCTATGCACAAATGCACACACACACACACACACACACACAAAAAGACACAATCAGGTGCATCGCCTACTGAAAAAAATAAACAGGCACAGGCACTGGGGTTTATGAGGAAAGCCTCATTTGTAATACAACTGCCAATGTGCAGTGATTAAAAAGCAAAGAGCCACCACCAAAACTAAGCAGAACTTCAAAAATGAAAACTCTTACTAGGCCAGGCCTTAGGAAATTTAGGACAACACGCTACAAAAGATCAGGAAGCACTCACTGCAAAATCGGCTGGTACCGCCACCGGCCAGAAAGCTAGACTACACCCTTTCTGGTGGGAGCCTGTCTCCTCCTGTCAGAGGGCGGCTCCCCAGAGCGGGCACCCCGCTGTGCTTGGGGGCGATAGTGCCTCCATCCTAAGGCTTCAGCCCTGGATTACTGCAAAGCAGGAGAAGCCCGCTGGGAGCACAGATGTATTTGTGGTGGGAGAGGGAGGGAACCAGAATTCCTAACTTGCGGGCTGCCAGAGAGCAGATGAGTTCAAGAACCCGGGGGGCTGAGGGTGCCAGAAGGGCACCATCCCTGGTGCTAACAGACGCCAAAGGGCGATGGCAAAAGGGAAGGGGCATTTCTCATATATTTCTCTCCGCTTGCCTAATCTGAGTAACATAAATGTAATGTATGTTAAATTTTGGACTACGTTGTTGCTAGGAAAGAAAAATGCTGCTTTGACTTAAATTAAGTTGACCTATTCAAGTGGGTAGCCCTAAGCAGTTGTTCTCTTTGTATCTGTGATCAACCACGGATCTAAGGTGGCACAAGCCACCGCCACGTTCCCTGTTACAGATGCTGTCCGGAGAACAGCACCCACACTGCTGCATCCTCACATGACCTACGCACACGAACAATGCATGCTGAAGGAAGATGAGAACTTTGTTTGTTATTTCTATGACACCAAGGTAGGAGGAACCAGTGGCTCCCAGACCTCTGGACCACACACAGGGGACCAACGCTTTCCAGTAGCGAGGACGGGCATTTGAAAAGCAAAATAAGACACAATCCCACTGCCAATCTGCTATCACCTTCATTTCATAAGAGTACTTTAACACCCCCAAATAAGGACACCCGCAGTTCCTGTTTTCCCTGAAGATGAGTGAACGCTTGGTCCCAGGCTCACAGAGCAGTTAACTGGAAACCCCTGACATCCATCACTTCGTGGGGGCAAATGCACACTAAAGAGGTTTCTTCTTCAGAGTTTCTACGATTTAATGTTTTTATCTGGATTCCTAAAATTTGGTCAATTTGGTTTCTCCGAATAAGAAACCAAAATTAGTGACAAACTAAGTGTGTCCCACACATAGAGGCCTCTCCCTGGGACAAGGTCATAACGCACATCTGGAGCACCGGGGTCACCTCCGACCCAGCCCACCCTCCACATCCCTCCCTCCCTTCCACATCCCCTCCCCCATCAGTACTGCTGCCGCAGAAGCTCTGCTTTCAGTAACGGGATGCCATCCCCCTCCTTCTCACACACCTGCGCGTTCTGGCTTGCCTCCAGGACACAGGACAAATGACAAGAGTTTTGGGGGTAGAATTCAGAGCCCTCTGTCACCTGACCCCACCTTTCAAACCCTGCCACAGGGAGCACCGTTACCGCATCTCGGGGCACTGGGGAGAGACTGCACCTCTGCCCTTGCATTCCACCCACTCTGGCTTTCATCTGGTGCCGCTTTGGGGCTTGCGCCGGGCTCTCCTGAACACCTGGGATCCCCCGCCCCAGGGGGCACCTGGTCAGCTGCTCCTGTCCCTGTGACAGTCCGCTACCCTGTCTCTTCCTTAAGAGCGAGCTCGACAGCCAGAGTCAGGCACAGCATCTCTCTCTACAGAGACTCCCCGCATGCTTGCTGAACACCCTCCTGTTACAAGACAGGAGGCTCCCAGGACGGGTCCCGCCTGGTCACCACCACGCGCCCAGGGCCGCAGGACCTGCACCCTCCTCCACGCTGCCGTGTCACACGTGACCCTCTCTCTCAAGGCCCGTCTTCCCTGTACCCACAGCCAGTGATTCCCACAATGCCTCCCTCGTGCCAGGCATCGCACTGTGCCCTTTCTATCTACGTGTGACTCTCACCCATTCCTCACAACAGCCCGCCCACTTCACAGATGAGGAAACCGAGGCTCGGCTTCGTTAATGGTCTGAGGTTGCACAGCTAGCAGGTGGCAGAGCCAGGCTCCAGACCCAGCTCTTCCAGGCCCCGGGGCCTTCTGCTCTCCCCCCAAGTCTGCTCTGTGGATGTGCAACTTTCCTGGCTCCCTACTGAGGACCAGAAACACCTGCAGGGTTGATGGGCTTCCCTGGCCCAGGAGGAACAGCCGCTGCGGACGACGCACCACGAGACACAAACGCTGAGCAGAAAAGCGCTCCTCTGATCCCGTGGATGAACCAGAAAACAGGCAGCAGTTCCCCAGCCACCAGTCACCCCTGGGGACAGAACAGCCTCCTGGGGAGTCGCTGGGGCTCTCCCCAACTCAGGTAGGATTCTAGCGGGCCGATAACTCAGCCTCTCGGGAAAGAAAGGCATCTCTGCCATGAAATGAAGACAGCCTTCCCAGAATGAGTGGAGACCTAAGCATACCTGTGATCTCGTCTCGTAATCCATCACAGAGTCCCGACGCTTGTGCTCTCTTTCCTTTGCAAAAGCCACTTTCTCCATCAGAGGAAGGGAAAGATCCCGCTGATGAAACCCTGGAAGACAACAGGCGTCATGAGGGAACAAGGCACAGTCAACCTGGCACGCGCACTGGGGAGCAGTCGGAGGAGGACCTACTGCTCCTGGGGCTCCGGGCGTACGGCCAGCGGGCCCGGGACTCCAGGCCCCTGCCTCTGCCCTTCCGGTGCTCCCGCTCGCGGGCTCGCTCCCAGTCTCGGTCCCAGTCTCGGTCCCAGTCCCGGTCCCAGTCCCGGTCACCTGAGGAAGCAGACATTTCAGGAGCTGACCACGTGCCCTGACACGAGTGCGCTCACTTCACGTGCACATACCCCTCTGGAAGGGATGCTAGGAGACGGATCCCGAACAGGGGTCCCAAGTGCAACCCGACACCCGGGCCCCGGACCACTGTTTCTGGGGGCCTCGCCTAGGTGGGCCTGGTCTCAGTCAGGGCTAACACTGAGCTGAGGAGCTGGTTCCCCCTTCAGGTTCTCCTGGTCTCCCAACTCCCACGTGGTCAGGTCCACGTTTGGGAAAATGGACTTCAGACCCTCCGCCGCCTCGCTTACCCCAGTCAGTCTTAATGTGCACGTAACTTTACCCCAAAGAAATGAAACACCCACCTGCCCCAAAAGCAACGTTCCTTCAAAAAGTTCACCGAAGAACCTTTAACAAATAAAACAGCTTTGGAGGCAAAGGGGTGATGAACTCTGCCCCTCCTGGGAGGCTGTGGACACAACCTGAAACAGCCTACTGCAAAATTCACATAGCTTTAAACATTTTCTCTCATCATTAAGAGAAACAGTTGTATTTCACTCCACACACGTGTCTGCTTCGATGTAAGAACGACTCCTTCCATCCTCACTGATTTCCTTCCCCCTCAGACCTCTGAGCAGCAGCCCTGCCCCAGGGAAGTCCTGCGCGGCCTGGATGGCGCGGCGACCGGGCTACTCACTGCAGCAGGCGGAGTGTGGCGGCGGGGACTCTGCTGCCTTCCGGCTCATGCTGCCTTCGCTGTGGGCGTCACTGCTGGTGTCGTCTGAGGGGGCACCACACACGACTTAAGGTCTCGTCCGTGCTCGCCAGTCCCCTCTAAGTAGCCCCCCCGGGTGGCCCCCACCCCTTGCTGCAGTGGTCAGACCCTCTCGCCCCGCCCTTCTGCCCGTGCTGGGCAGGAACGAGGCTGTGACCCTCCCGATGGCAGCGCCAGGTACAATCTGCTGGGGTGCCCCCTGCCCCCGCCCCGGTTCCACAGAGCCTGGGCCAGGGCGCGGTGTGTGCAAGCTCCCTTCCAGTCAGAGGCCCACGGTCTCCTTCCCTCTCGCATCCTAACCAGGAGGGATTCTGCTCCGTGGGGACACGGGGCACCAGCTCTCACTGGGCTGTCACAGCTGGGGAGGGAGGTGCAACTGGCACGCTGTGGGCAGAAAGGCCGGGAGGCCACCTATGTCCTATGGCAGGGCAGTCCCCCACTCCCCGCGAAGAGGTCGATCAGCCTAGAACATCAGGGGCACTGCGCGGGGCACCCCAGGGAGCTCCACCTTCCTCTCCCGCTCACCTTCCGGTTCGTACATCTCCTTGTAATTTTCCAGCAGAGTAACGAGCTTCTCGCAGTTCTCTGGCTTTTTTGCACGCACCCAAGGCTTGATCTTTTCTGGAAGGATGGTCAGGTACTGCTCGAGGACCAAGAGCTCGATAATCTCCTCCTTGGTGCGAGTCTCCGGCTGCAACCAATCGAGGCAGAGGTTTCGGAGTTTGAGCAGGGTCTTCCGAGGCCCGACAAATTCCACGTAGAGGAAGTTCCGAAACCTCTGATGAAAGAATTCAGAGTCAGTGGCGGCTTCTCCTATGGCGGCATCCGGCTCCTGAGACAAGTCACTGTCTAGCTCACACAGATTTGGGGCCCAAGACCTCTTGGGTTTGGTGGCAGACAAGTACTTTGGAGGCAGCATCTCTCTAAGGAAAATTTTCACTGGAGGAACCCAACATGAGTCAACAGGAAAGACGCGGCAGCCTGGGACAGTCAGTACTCAGGGACCTGCGGATCGTAAGGAGACATACACATGTCCCAGAAGTCGAGGACCGGGCAGCAGTGTGGGGCTGCCCGACAAGGGCACCAACAGTGCTTTGTGAACAGGCCAAGGGCAGAAGAGAGGCATCAAACCCCAGCACACAGACACATGCACAGGCAGGCGTTAAAGCACCACACACACCCGTGTGAGGAGTGAGCTCTGCTACTAACTGGTTCTGTGACCCTGGGCCACACAGCCCACGTCCTGCAGTCTGTCCCCTTATCTACAAAATGGGAACAACAGACCTACACCCCTTCTAGAACTGTGAGGCTTAAATAAGCCAATACACCTAAAAGGCCTAACCACCCAGCACACAGCACATGGGGATGCCCAAGGTGCTGGCCATTACTAAAATGAGATGTCGGTATTTTTCCTTAGCAAAAACGGAAAGGGGGTCGTGAGGGGCTCAATCCTGCCATTTCTGAGCATTTCTTCCCCTAACATGGTTGTTAAAACAGCATACAACACGTGAAAGGTAGAAGACCGCATAAAAATGTTACAAGTGCTCAGCTCTGGGTAATGCGATTGCAAGTGCTCTTAATAATTTTCCTGAACCCGCGCTGCTGTTAAGTTAAAATTCAATGAAATTAAAAGTTCAGCTCCTCTGTCTCACCAGCTACATTCCAAGCGCCAGTGGCTACCCTACTGCACAACACGGAACATCTCCCTCGTGGGGGCAAGTTCTATTGGCCAGGGTGGCTGGACAGCATCTGAGCTTGCAGGGAAGCTCAGAACCCCTGCGTCAGCAGTGCCCCCCCTTCTGAGGAGCGTCTGCCCCACAGCCCAGCCTTGGGCTTGTGCTAACACCACGTCCTCTGGGAGCCTTCCCGAGACTCACTTCCTCTACTAGTGTTCCAAGCACTTGCTGCATTTAGTCTTAAATATTTGAGCTCGCGTGCCTCTGCCCCCACTGTAAACTCTGGTAAAGGGATGAGAGACGAACTTTTCCGTCACTGGAAGAGTCAGCTATCAACACTGATAGAGCATGTTGAAGGTAATGTACACAAACCCATTTTAAAATTGGTTTTAGACACAGGCATGCATTCTTACTACAGGCCTGCAGAAGCACAGTGTAGTTTCTGGGTTAAGCTCTGCAGCACTGTTTCCAAAAGAACACCCTGGCGTTTCACTTACCCTCACCTGCCCACTTTTCTACCCGCCCCTTCCCGGTATTCCCGACAAATAGGCATGGGAAGCACTGTGCGGTATATGTGGAGCTCTCTTACAGCGCTGCCTAGCACAGAGGAGGAAGGTTAAAGGATGTACCAGTGAACCCACAGAAACCCTACACAGGTGATAAACACCTATTATTCATATCAATGGTGAGAAAGTGATCAAGCGACCATAGGGCTTCTTCACACCCCTGCACATCCTCCTGCTTTATCAATCTTTTCAAATATCTAGCTTGCCTCCACAGAACCAGCTTTCTACTTCGATACTCCTCTGTATCATTTATTTCCTTACTTGTCTTTTAGTATCTGCTCCCTCCCTTCTTAAGAAAACTTTTTAGACCAAGTTATAAAAGCTGATTTTCCATTTTCCTTTTGTTCTAACGTAACCAACTAAGGCTATACGTTTCCCTTCATCTAAACCATTTTAGTTGCATGTGGTTTCTATTATGTAGCCTTGTTATTAGTGGTCAGCCACAACTGGAGCAAGGAAGTAGGCAATACAGGAAAGAAATCTAGGTTTGGGTGAATTAACTTACCTGACAGTTTTGTACTTCTGGCTTTACTTCCAGAGAAGAACAAAACCAGATGCAGCAAAAATTCTTTTTGTTTTAAAAGGAAAAACCAGTAAGTTAAAAAGGATTTTTTTTTAATGTCTAAAGAGAAAACAAAAGGTGTTTCAATTATTCAGTCTCAAAGTAGCCTTCATCATTTGGGCATGAATGCAGGGGACTCTCTCCAGACAGTGGTGGGCTCCACTCCGCCCCGTGTAAACTGCCCTCCCACTCTCTCTGCATCATCCTCTGGAGCTCACCACCAACCACACAGATGCACCTCCATTCGGAGACCCTGGAGACCCTGCCACTCCCGCCCTGCCTGCCCTGCCCTCCTCGATGACAGACAGGACACTAGATACCACCCTGCTGGGCAGGGGAAAGAAAGGGCAAGCGTCCAGGCTCTGGAGAGCTGATGAGACAGCTGGGACAAGAGAACACAGTCGAGTTTACCCAACGACTGGCTAAGAGGGACTGCCGTGACAAGAGCAGGGCCCTCAAAAGCCAGCAGGCCTGTGCGGGACAGAGGGGCGGGCAGGAAGCCCAAGCCTGCTCTGTGGCATCCAATTCCAGAGAGAACTCCAGTCCCCTAGATGACAGCAGCCCCACCTCTCAGAGGCCACAGGACACCCTTGGGTATGTAAATCACCTGTTTGGGAATAGGATCCTTTCTGGAACTTCAGAACAAGTGTTCTTATCCACAGGAACAGAGTCAAAATGCCAGGGACCTGCAGACATTTTAAAGAAATACATGGACAAATAAACACGGAAGAAATGTAAAGAGTGTCAGAGAATTCACTCTCCAAATGGCTGTGGACTGAGATAGCACTGGGAGTGAGGCCTTATACACCATATTCAAGAAAAGGCCCATTCCCATGTCATATAGACCAACCAGAGACAAGAAGCAGAAAGCTTTCAAATTTTCTTTATGAAACCAGAATAATTAAAACATCTAAGACAAAGAGAGCACTAGCAAACTGCAGACCAAACTCACTTATAAAAGCAGACATAACAGTCTTAACACTATGACTAATGAACATCATTCTACAGTTTCAGCCAATTACAAGAAAATCTGGGGCATGAACAAAGAAAGATATAAAATTATCACTCTCTTATGTAAGACTGTCCACTCAGATACTGCAAATCAGTGGAAACAGACCTTATAATAGTAATAATAATTTAGTAAGAAACCCATTTATAACAGACTCCCTAAATATGGACCGACAATAACCAATCTGAAAAAATGGGAAGAACTCCATTGTAAAAATACAAAAGATTTAACAGAAGAAGACAGCACCCATAGGAACAAACTTATACATTATATTGCAATAGAAAAGGCAATAACTAGAGAGACACAGGATAATCATGGAAGATATACGGATCTAGCATATGAAAGCTCTAAATACCCCCTATACTACCTAGTGGAATTTCAAAGAATATAAATGTTGGGGAACTTGACAATGGTTCTAAAGTTGACCTGGAAGAATTTCACTTGGATCAATATTTTGAAAGTTCATACATCAAAAGGCCAACAAACCACACACAAAAAAGAAGTATCTTAATATAATCTCAGGGTTAAGAAAGTTCTTTTCGAGTATGATGCCTAAAGGCAGAAAGACGACAAAAAAGTAACAAATGATGTTCTTGTCTATACCATCAAAGCCAAAGCAATAAATCAACCATCTAAAAAAGCACCAAAAAAGACAAGAAGACTGATTCACTTAAGAATTGTAATATAAGTTTACTGTATGTACACAATTGAGTATGTAGAACTCTATGAAAGTGGCATTAAAAAATAGTAAGGAATGTATATAGATTACTTCAATAAATAATAATGGTAATAGGAGATCTAGCCAATCATTCACTTGGGGAAAGAGGTCACAACATATATGAAAATGGTAAAACTAAGATCAAAATAAAATAAATAAAAGATTAATTTTTATAATCCTGGAGCAGGGACGGGATCTTCTAACCTGACAATAAAATTGGGAAACAGGGACAACTTTGACTTTGTATACATACTTCTCTAATCACATTAATTTTTCTTCCCACTAGGCATGTGTTTGAAGCATAAAGCACCAGTAGGTAAAAATTATACTTAAGAACTGTAGGCTTAAAAAGTTTGATAAGGAAGCAACAATTTTGCTAAGAAAATATAAATATTTGGTAAACCTGACTCAGGAAGCAGAGGAAAATCCAGGGAAGAAATTTAAAAAGATGAAATGACCGAAGGAGCAACTTCCCATAAAATTTCCATGAGCGAAGTATTTACCATGTTATAAAAACCCTTCCAGAGCACAGAAAAGAGACGGAGGACTTCCTGCTCATTGATAATATGACTCTGTGAACACCCATAAATATCCTGTCACAAGGTAGATGCCAACGTGTATGCTGAAAATTCACCTATTCCTTTGCTCAATTCAAATTCAGGACTAGAGTCAACAAATGTGATCTCTGTTAAATGTGCTCAAGATTTTCTGACCAGGCCGACGAAACAGCCCTTGGTCTGCAAGGGCGTTGAAAAAGAAAAGATTTTTAATAGAAAAACCTGAAAAACAGTTGGACCTTACCTACTCCTTCCCACAATGGCAGAGGAAATTCATTTGAGAGTAAGAAAGGGCCTTGGGAACAGAATAATCATAAAGATAGATAACATATATGTCATGTGAAGAAAAAACTGGATACACATATCCTGCAAATTTTATAAAGGGCAAATTGGTTACTTATCAAAATTAAAAAATGTAATATCCTGTCCTATTAACTCTACTATGAATTTATCCCAGAGATGTGTAATGACATATGTGCAAAAATATATTCATTGAAGTACTGTTATGACAATGGGCAAAATATGGTATGTTTATATTATGATTATGAAACCTTTTAAAATAATGAGGCAATTGTAAATAAATGGATATGAGACGACCTCTAAGGTAGTTAAGTGCAAAATGGGACACACCAATGTGCATAGCATTCTAAGGAATTATAAAAACAGATGTCATTTACTTAAACGATTTCTGGAAGGACACAGAAGAGACTGTTAATAGTGATTAATAGTGATTGCCCCTGGGGAAGGGAACTGGGGGCCAGGGAAGGAAGGGTGACTTAACCTTTTCATTGTATATTCCCCTTTTGTTTTTCTTTTATCATGACATGTATTACCTAGTCAAAAAAATAAATTCACAGTTAAAACAAAACGATAAACAAAAGCACTAGTGGAGGTCTTTTGAGACCGTGCCGCCCACTGAGTGGGTGCCGGCAGCACTACCACCTTAACGCTGAGGGGTCTCCTCCCCTCCCCCGCCCACCCCCCCACCCCCCACCCCCGCCCACCCCCACCCCCCACCCCCGCCCTGGTCTGAGTCCAAGGTCACACCCTGAACTGGCCGTTTGCCGATGATATGATAGGCAATTTAGAAAACGCCCGAAAATCAACTTTGAAACTCCTCAGACCCAAGAAGTACTGCCGCTCCAAGCTGAAACAGCACTCACAACTCTAGCAACTATTAGTACATAAATGCAATGCCATTCGCTATCCTGGCGATTCCACTTCTGAACTCGAACTGACAGACCTATGTGCCCATGAGCACAGAGACACGGTTCACGAGGGTGTTCACAGAAGCACTGCTTTCCACAGTGAAGAGCAGGGACAGGCAGGAGAATGCTCGAGCAGGTTCAATGGCAGAGGCCACTGACTGCTACGCAGCAGACGTGAAAATAAAAACGGTACACATTTTCCACGCTATAAAAACGAATCAGAATAAAAGCAAACCAGAAAAGGACGGGGAAAAATATTTTGCAACATAGACGACAGTTAATAGGTCTTAGAAAGCAGTGAGAAAAAAGTAAGTGGCTCCTCATGAAAATAAAGAACATTAATACACAGTTCATAAAATTAGTGATAGGAGCCAATATCTATATCAGAAATCAAAGAAACGTGAAATATTATGGTGAACACTTTTTACGCTTACCAAATGGGCAACTATTTCAAAATAAAAATCAGTGTTGGTGGGAAGCTGGCTGGTACAAGTGTGAATCCTATTTCTGGATATCATTTTGGCATATATCTAAAAAACATTAAAAATGCCTATTCCTTTTGAAACAGCAAGTCTCCACTTAAGGACAAAGACAGTCAAGTAGATAAAAATATAAGTTAAAAAAAAAAAAAGAAAAAAGCTACAAAGTCAGCTGCCCACCACCACTAAGTCCTTGTATGTACATCTACTCTCAAATATGTTGCAGGAGTGATGTTAGGTGACATAACGTCACCCAAGGAGCACATCCGGGAACGTGCTATTATGCAATGGCGGCCCTAACACAGGGCAGATCCCTGCACACCAACCAGAGGCAAAGCAGGGAAAGGAAGCACTGGTCAACGTTCTCCTACAGGCTTACCTGACTGCAGGTGGCCCCTCAGGAGGAGCCGAGTGACCCAGCCTTCAGCCCCGACTCACCCTGTCCTCCGCTGGCAGCCCAAAGGGCACCCAGGAGTGAGGACTCAGCACCTGCCAGGGCCCCATACTCACCTCACCCTTTGGAAGACCCAGGTGAACTCCTCCTGTGACAGCGACTCTGGCCAATCGAAAGCATAACTGCTCTTCCCACTTTGCCCCCACTTCCCCAGTCCAGCTCCTGCCTCCATGGCAACAGCCATGCCTACCACTGAAGAGGACAGAAGATACGTGTCGGGGGTGGCTGAGAGGAAGAAAGCATCAGGGAAGAGTCATCCATGGGCTTGCCTGGCATGACCAAAGGCAGTGTTGAGGCCGAGGGGGATGCCTGTCCAAGGACGGCCCAGAAAGGCCATCACAGAATCAAGATGTGCTGGGGGACGCACAGCCCAACAGAGAAAGGGAGCACCTGTACTTAGGCCAGGCCTCAAAGTCCCTGAGGCAAGGACTACATCGCCTTTCTCATCACTGTATTGTTACCTTCACAGGACTGGCACGTAGAGGGTGTTCAACAAACTGTGTTTGGGTTTTTTTCTACTTAGATGCAAAAACATTTAAATCCAATCTAGAAAAGTCTAAATAGTAGCCCTTGACCATGAAAGGTTATTCCAGGAATACAAGGATGATATCCCAGTAAGGTAGGCTGTTATATAAGGGATTAGAGGGGGAAGGGGATTCCACGAGCACTGTTGCACATGACAAGGCATCTGCAGACTTCAACCTTTCCTTGTACGTCCCTAGCAAAGAGTAAGACTAGGAGACCATCTAAACACAACGAAGACTTATCTCAAGTGCAAGCAAGCATTAGACACTAAAGGTAGGGAAGCCCTCCACCATACCCACCATTCAGCACTATTTTGGTAGTCTTATTAGCTAATGCAACTGATAAAAAAGAAGTGAAAGGTATAAATGTGGAAAAAGCATTATTTTGAATTCAAAAACCTTGGCAGTTAATACAGCAAGAAAAAAACCTCCAGGAATAGCAAAATAAATAAACCAATTCTCATTAATAAATTCAGTGAAGTATTTGCAACTCCAAATAAAATTTTTTTAATGTACAGAAGGACACAGAGCAGGTCCTAAATAAATGAAGACATGTTTTTGCACAGGACCATGAAAATTGTTGTCAATCCTCCCTTGGATATAAGTTAAAATCCAATAAAATGTGGGAGTTTTGACAAACTGAGAATCCAGTTTCTCCAGAAGACTAAATGTACAGAAATATCAAGACAACTGTGAACAAGAAGGTATGTGTGCAGCAAGGGTGGGGGATTGTCTGT